TGAAGCCCATGATCCACCACACAGCCCCCAAAGCTCGATACCACCAGTCTAGCTCTCCGTTCAGCGACTCGAGGAGTGACGTTTGGTTCGACTCGTAGATGCTGCATCGGCAGCAGCTCGTGCGCGCGTCCGTCGGCTTATAGGTTCGTCTTCAGCTCGTCTTTCAGCTCCCATATGGGGTGCTAAACGCTTCGGTCTAGTTGTAGCCTTGAGACTGGAAGCTGTAGGCGGAGGAGCGGCCTCCACTAAAGCAACTCTGCGCTTCTCTTCGGGACCCTGCGGCACAGCTTGTACTCGCTGTTCAGCACCAGCACTTTTGGTCCTGTTGTTTTGTTTGCCTGCTGCACTTGAGCTAGCCTGCCGACGGCTCTTGTTTCGGGCCGGCCGGAGCGGTGCTGCAGTCGTTGTAGGCATTGCAAATCCTCCCGAGGTTTGCCGGCCATCTGTCCTGTTCTGCATCCAGAAGTTCTTCAATTCCTGGTCTGCAGTGTGCACGTACTCATTCACCAGCACAGGAACATCACGCGCAAGACTGTTGATTGACTCGAACGAGTCCTCAATTGGCTCTAGTCCCTTCCAACTCACCAAGATGTCATAGGTCTTGGTCGTTTCGTTCCATCGATGCTGTCGGAACTTATCCACTGTGAGAACCACCCCCTGCGCTGCGATGTGCTCGAGCAACTCCTCAGTTACTTCCAGATTGGCGTCCGAGTAGAATTTCAACCTTGACGCATGGACATCCAGTTCTGTTCCAGTGACCAGATGTTGCACTCGGTATGAATGTGCATCAGCGCGCAAGACCCGATACGGCCCGACCCACGTAACGAGCAGCTTGCTGTTGGTCTTCTCGTCGACTCTTGACCTTAAGACATAGTCGCCTTCAGTGAAGTTAACCAAATTGTCACCACGCTCGCGCTTCTTGTTGAGGAGCCGTTGTTTCAGGCGTTGATCTTCGACCACACGATGCATATCCTGCAGGCTACTGCGCAGCTCGGAAAGGTAGCCTTCAATCTTGTCACTAGCCGGAACCTCTTGTAGCGTTCCTTCACTGGGAATATAAAACTCCTGTAAGGGCGTCGGGCATGGAAGTCCGGCGAAAAGCTCCACAGGTGCGCAGTTACCAAGTGATGGGACGGCAGTATGGTTCAGACTGGACTGTACCATCGGAACCAGGTACATCCAGTCCTTGCTGTCGATCTTGTATTCCAGAATGAGTGTTCGCATTACCTGAAGTATGTCCCGGTTCACACGTTCAATTGAACCGTTGATCCACGGGCAGTACGCCGGTGTGAACTGCTGCTTTGACCGCAGTCGTCGGGAAAGCTCCGCCATCACCTCATTTTTAAAATGGCTTCCTTGATCACTGACCCACGTCGGCGCTAATCCAAACCGTGCGTGCCACGCCAGTAGAGCCTCCACAGCGACCGTGGCATCGGCTGTGTCTGCCGCCACAAGCTCCACGAAATGAGAAGCATGGTCCTTCAGAACCAACAGGTACTTCGTGCTGCCGAAACCTTCACCCATGTACAGATAGTCGAAATGCAACGCACCGTTGCGCGTACTACACTCGATCGTTTCTCCCCATGGTCTTGGGACCACCTTCCCCCTTTTTGTATGCAGGCACGGCGAACGAAAGAGGAAATTAGAGACGAGAGCTTGTCGATCGAAAAGAGTCGGCTCACGTGGACTTTCATAGCTGCAAAACCACGATGTCCTCGAGCTCCAGAGTGAGCAATAATAAAGATCCGCTGGATCAACTGGGCTGCCTCCTGTGGGATCCAAATCTTACCACTTAACGTGACAACACCATCAGAGGTGGAATCAGCGGAAGCAGGTGAAGCACATTTAGCTTGCTCGGCTATGATCTCGTCGAAGGTTGGCCACACAAACTGGTCATCATCAAGCGGGCGGAGAGGCGAGAGCACTGGGGCTGTTCGTTCGGGTTGTTCAGCTGCAGATGCACGTCCACGCGTCTGTAGGCTCTTGACCGCGGTTGTAGCAATGTGATTACCGGCCCATCGGCTAATCATGTCCGCCCACACGTTTTGCGGTCCAGCAATGTGTTCGATCACGTAGCGGAAATTCATCAGCTTCAAGGACCACCGAAGTAACTTTCCTTTCACATGCTTCTTCACCGTTTGATCCGGGGCAAACACGTGAATTAGATTGCGATGGTCACAGAACATCCGAAAGCCTTGCGGACGCAGAAGTAAATAGTCCAACTTGTCGCAGGCCATTGTGATCGGGAAAACCTCCTTCTCGATCACTGTCCAGTTGAGTTGGCTACCTGTGAAGGTGCCACTCATGCACTGGATTAAGCGGTGCTGGTGCTCCACAATTGGCGTTTGAGGGTCGAATTCGGCCACCTGTGTCTCGATATAAGCCCGCCCCACATCTGAAGCGTCCGTAAAGAGGCAGGTGGTTGCAGCATCATCTGGAAAATCAAGTGTAGCCGACGAGACCAACAGATCCTTGATCCTATCAAATGCGTCCTTCTCCGAGTCATCCAGTTCGATACTGATCCCTGCAGCAGCTCTCTTTGTGCGACGCGTACTGGCCAATGCTTTATCCAGTCGCTGTTGGAGCGGAGAGATCTGCCGCGCATAATCCACCAGGCTATCTCGCATCCAGTTTACGGCACATACAAACTGCTGAAGCTCGCCTGCGGTAGTTGGATAGGGAATTGCTCTGAGAGAGTTAATCCTTTCAGGATCATGCTTCACACCCATGGCGTCGATGATCCGACCACACCACTTCACTTCCTGCTGGTAGAGACTCGACTTCTTTACGCTCAACTTCAAACCAAAGTCGTTCAACAGTGAGAAAAGCTCTGCAAGCTTGTCAAGATAGACGTCGATGTCATCGGCGTACAGCAATAGATCATCTATCCATATCAGCAAGTGCTTGTAGAGTAGTGACGCAAAGCATTGTTCCATTGTCTGCTGGAAAAATATTGCAGCGTCTCCACAACCTTGCGGAACGCGTCGTGGCGTAAAAATCTTCGCGTCGGTCATATAAGAAAGCCATTCCTGGCAGATTTCGGCAAGTGGCAGCTGCCAGAACCCTTTAAGAAAATCAAACAGCCCAAAATGTTGTTTTCCACGTGCATTTTCCATTACGACCGAGAGAATCGGCATCACGGCCGCCATAATGTCTGTCTTCGCATTGACAGCTCTATAATCGGTCGTCTGCCTGAGGTCCATCAGCTCGGCTGACTTTTGGACTGGTAAAACCGGGCTTGCCCAGCGGCTCGTCGGGTTCTCCTAGACGAGTCCTAGCGCAACAAGCTTGTCATTAAATTCTTGTAAAAAGTTCCGAATATGAGGAGGGTATTTGCGCGGCTTACACTTAGTCGGTTGGGCCCCCTCCTTCAAACGCAGCTCAAGCGGAGGGACACGGGCAGGTGGGTCGTCACGCAGCTCCAAGCGCCACACATCATACATGTGTACAATGACACGCAGCTTCTCCACTTTCTCCACCGGGAAACCGTTCTCTAGCGCTCGCTTTATCAGTACCTCCACTGCCTCAGTCGCGGCTTCTGCTCGACTCACAGGAGGGTCATCCACTTCCAGCTCTAACGGGTCACCTGTGGCATCGTCTTGTTGGCGGTTGGCCAGCTGCTCCAACTGGCGCTCGACGTCTATTCCCAAAATGCTGAGCCATCGCGACCAACTATTAGCTCCTCATCTTGGGTGTCCACAATTAAACTCGGTACGGGCTCTGCAATTTCCACAGCCCCTGCTGCTGTATGTATCATAAGACGCACCATCGCCTTTGTGTTTGCCACCACGACGTGCGAACCATACGCGATGCAATGCACTGGGATATCAAGTGGTTCTTCCACAACGCTACCGTCAGCCACCACCAGCTCCTCAAACATCGCATGAGTAAGCACCGTATGTTCAGATCCAGTGTCCGGACAGTACGGGAGCGTGAGGACTCCATTCAGCGTGGCCGTTCGCTTCATGTTGGGCAACAATTCGCCAAGGCGTTTCAAACCAGCTTTGCGAGCCTTGCTGGCCTCGCGCAGCTTCTGGCGCAGTACTACCTTCTCCGCCTCGGTGGCGTCCGGACAGTCGCTTAGCCAATGCATCTGCTGGCACTTCGGGCACGGTGACGGCGGCTCTCGAGTGGATGCTTTCTTTCCTTTCTTATCCACCTCCTTGCCGACCTTTTTCTGCTCGGTTGACACAGCAGTCTTCTTTTCTTTCTGCTTGCTCGCAGACTTGGACTGGAAAGGCTTCTGCCCTTCGGATCTGGCTTCTAGCACTGTAAGCTTGGACCTGTCGATGTCCTTATCTGCTCGACCGGTCTTCAGACGTTTCTGCTGTTGAAAATGGCGCTCGTGCTCCTTCGCACGCTCATACACCAATTTGTACAACTTTACCAGGTTCTTCCCAGCATCCTTGTCCTTCCACTGCACAATCGTCTTGACATCAGCCTTGAGAGTAGGTGGCGCAAGCGAAGCAATGACACGCTTGCACTTCTGCTCTTCTCCTTCTCGGCCTTCCAAGCACTCCGCAAGGCCGTGCTGGCGCACAATCTCCCTGAAGCGCTGAAAATAGCTTAGAATGCGAGCATCCACGTCACTCTCCTTAAGTCCATGCGCAGCTCGCGCTTGAACAGAGCCTTGATGTCCGGAAGATAGTCGTTCTTAACGCTAGTTAAAAGGCGCTGAAGTTCTTCAATCAGCATGCCCTCCGTACAGTCAGCTACTTCTTTGTCCAGCCGCATTGTACAGAACACCTCCAACAAATCATGGTCAAACGACTCCTTGACCGTTTGTGTGATGATGCTGTAGTCTTCACCAGAACTTCTGCATCGAGAACGCATCTTGGCCTCATACTCCTTACGGAGCTTCTGCCACTTCACTAGCGCTTCCTTGGAGATCGACTTGATCTTGGGGGGAACGACGGGTGTGAAGACAGGCATAGAGTATTCGTAGGACTTCTCCTCATCAGATTTCTCTTTGAGTTCTTCAACGCGACGCTTGGTCATCTTGATCGAGTCCTAGCGAGGTGCTCAGAAGTTGTCGTAACTGTGTGTAGCACACAGAACAAGCCAGTGACTCCCTTGACTCATTAAAGAATTCTTTGTGGTGTTTTCCGGAGTTGTTGAGGGAAACTTGAAGACTTGACACTGCAGATGGCTAGTCGGCTATGAAAGGGGCGCCAAGTATATTGAGGTCACCTGAGTAGTGAACTGTAAAAGTAGAAGTGAGAGGACATTCAGCTAGTAGCTTCCTGTCTGCTCATAGAACATGAATGAATGTACGAAGCCTCTGGATATCAAAGGCAGACTGACGACCAAGGCTATCTCTTGGATATCACTCATCTGAAACCGTTGAATATCAGAAGACCCCACTGTCGACATCAACTGTGTTGTCCAGGCGTCCCCAGATAACACGAGTCATCATCGGCCGTCTTGTTAAACAAATCTGTGCTTGAAGTTGTAGGTGGTGACGGCCTGAAGCCCATGATCCACCACAGAAACCGATCATTTTTGATGAGGGGTCTTCTATTCGCAAAAGGCTTGTTTATCCTACTCCACTACGCCAGACCTCATCAAGCGCAATATCGATGTCGTCAAGACTGAATGGTCCTCACTCTCAAGCTCCGTAATTAGCTCGTTTCCTGTCTCATCACAGCTACTATGTTGCTGGAACTACCACCCGTAGACGTCGTAATTCCATATGAATCAGCGCGTGGGATCGGCATGTAAACAGGCAGCCTTAATCGAGTTCACCACAACGGCCTGAGGCGTGTCGCGCCAC